CAGCATTTATACACGCTCTCATTTAAAATGAAAATGAAATTCATTTAACCTCTCTTGGCTTCACTTGCTAGATGTGTCCAATGAAGATAAGTTGAGTCCAACTTTAAATCTATTATCCTAGTGATTAAATTAACCCCTCCACCCTGACCCCAGAAAATCCCCCCCCCCCACCAGGGCTTCTCTCCATTTGATCCTATGGTACTTTGGTTGCAGATCTTTGGCATAAAAATAAATGCCAGACTTCAGATGGACATATGTGGAAAAGCAAATTTTGAGAGGTTCAATGCCTTCAAGACAAACCCGAGGCGGAAAATCAGTGAGTATTGCACCAGCTACCATGACTGTGATACCCTTGACCCTGACCCTGACCCTACCAGTCCTTCCAGGTCTCTATTTCTAGGCTCCCCTGTGGAGGTGTCCAAGACACCTGCAGTCTATCACTCCTCCTGACTGTCCCTCAGAGAAAGGACAAGGGAAGTCCCTCCATCCTGAGCCACCAGGCACCCCACCTGTCTGTCCCACGCTGGCTCCCAGAGAGCTTCTCACCAGGCAGGCATAGATGGACCTTGTCTCACTCTGACCTAGCTTTGGTCTCCATCTTCCTCCCAGTCCTCGTGGGGGTCAGAAGCCAGATCTCAGCCCTTCTCCTCCTCATTTTTTATCCATCTCCACCATGCCCCATATCCTCATGAAGAGATATCTAGAAAATTGGGTTTTTTTTTACAACAGAAAACTCTACTACTTTTCCAGTAACAAAAAGTCCTGGGAAAAGGCTGAGCAGTTTTGTATGTGTCCTGCTCCTCTCCTCCAAACTCAGTGATGTCATTGAAGGAGCAGGTCAATGCTGAACTTAGGCTCTTTAAAGGAAGATAGAGATGTCAGTAAATGTGCATCCTCAGCAAGTTGCTTTCACTTTCTGCCAGGCTGGCCTTGGATTTCAGGGGACAGACACAGAGGATCCCCTTCAGCTGAAAGATTTGTTGATTGTTTTCATAATGAGTTGTTGAATTATGGCTACTCACAGTAGCAAGTTGAATGAAGATTCACTCTGTGTGAGTTCTAGGAGTTTAAAATGAGACTTGATCAGTTTCTCTACTACCCTTTAATACCAACAGAGTACCCTGGGGGAGAGAAAAGAGGTGGTGGATGGCAGTTGGCAGGCAGCATCTCAGACACCATCTTCCCTGGGAACCAGGTGAAGATACCCAGCAGCCCAAGCCCAAGATCCTTGGGAATAGCAGTACCTCCAGAAAACCTGCCCTGCTTCCAGTCCATGCTCTGCAGCCATAATGGAGAGGAATGATCAATATGGATCTACTTTTCACCCACAGCTGCTGGTACTAACTTCTGAGATGGGCAGGTAAGCCCACCAGCCTGGGAGTAACTGAGCTCCCCAGTTTGGTTAGTCTTCCAATTCAATTCTCTTGGCCATCATCCTAGGAAGCAACCCCTGGCTGATAGTACAGCCTGGCAACTGCTTCTGTGGGTATGGTAGCTATAGTTCCCAAAGACCCACCAAAGTCCTTGGTTCAATATTAGAGACAGATATGGTTCCGACTCCAGATTTACTGCCTAGCTACCTGCTAGTTGGACTCCCTGGTGACCATGAGGAAAGAAGCAATGTGGAGTTGAGGATATGGGTGCCAAGGAGGGCCCATCTACAAGGGGCAGTTGATTTGGTGGCCTGTGGGGAGAGAAGTCAGCGCAAGATCTGGATAAAGAGGGAAATGCATGTTGGTAACCTCTTGAGGGGTGGAGAAACCTGTTAAGACCACCTCAGCCTGAAGGAAACTGCCCAGATTGGGTGGGGGAATTTTTAATGGAGGTGGGGGGAATGTTCCTTTCTTGCTTACTACTTCAACTATAGAAGTCCCAAGGGAATGGGGCAGCAAGCTGTGGAAAACACCAGTGGGGATCCTCATATACTAACAAACAGCAATGATGATTCACATTAGACATTACACCTAGTTGAGATTCCATAGACCTTCAGCCCTGGTTTTCATTGTTGTTCAGTCATTTCAGTCATTTCTGACTCTTTGTGACTCCTTTTGGGGTTTTCTTGACAAAGATAGTGGAGTGGTTTGTCATTTCCTTCTCCAGCTCATTTTACAGATGAGCCAATTGAGGCAAACAGGGTTAAGTGACTTGCCCAGGGTCACACCGATACTAAGTGTCTGAGGCTGGATTTGAACTCAGGAAAACTGGACTCCAGGCACAGCACTCTATCTGCTGCACCACCTGGCTGCCCTGGTTTTCATTGATCCTTAAAATATTTTCCCCCATTGAGTGGGAGCACACTTTCTGGAAAGAGGATCATAGAGGCATCCTCAGGTACCAGGTTCCTTTACAAGGTGATGCATTTTATGGGAAGAAGGCGCTGGAAGTCAGGAGACATAGATTTTAGTTTCCTGCTCAGACAGTCCCTGCGTGATCTCAGGTATCGTTATTTCACCTCTGGGACCTCAGTCTCCTCATCTGTAAAGTTAGTGCTCCAGGGTTGGGACTAGACAGATGGTCTGAAAAATCCCTTTCGGCTCTAACATTCCATGATTCCTAGGAGGGATTAGTGTGAGCTGGAGTGGTCAGAGGAGTCTTCCTGGAGGAGGATGAACTTTGTGGAGAGAAGGGAGGGTGTTCCAGGCAGAGGAACAGCAGAGGTCTGCACCTTTGTGTGTACAATCTTTGCTCACAGAATAAAGAGAGAGATCTGACTAGAGTTTTAGGCAGGGTGGGGGACAAGGGTGGGGGTGGTGTAGGAGGAGAAGGTGTTTCCGTAATTTATAGGTCAGTTGCTTAAAATGTCTACTAGATACTTCAAACTGTATTTCTCAGGAACCCACTGTAACAGAGGGCAAACACAAGAAACTAGAAAAGATTTGCATATAGGGCCAAAAGGGACGATGAGCAGCCAAGGTCAAGGAGGAAGATAGAAGAAAAACAAGTGATTCTCATGGTGCCTGGCAATCAGCCCACTCCACCCCACAACCAGGATCCCAGAGGCCAGCAACATGTTCTTACACAGAATCCCAGGACGGCAGAGCTGGAGGGAACTTTGAGAGCATTGAGGCTTCCTTGTGTCTCAGATCCCTTGGGCAGCAGTCTAGTGAAGCCTGCGGACCCCTTCTGAGAAGAATGTCATCAAATGCATAAAATGATAGATGTAGGATTACCCAGGAAACCATTATGTTGAAATACAGTTATCAATTAAAAAAAAAAAACAGGTACTCCAGATTGAGAACCTTTGATATAATCTGACCTGAGACTGAAAGTGAATTTACTTGTCCCAGTTCAGAACCTGCTAGGAAATGTCAAAGCCAAGGCTTGAACCTATGACTTGTGTGTCTTTGGACACATGCTTCTCTCTCTGCGTGCTTCCTCCAAAAGAGAAGGGGAATGTGAAGAAAGGAAAGGATGATGGATGGATGAGAAGGTGATCAAGAGAAGATAATACGGAGATTCTGATGAGGGGAGGAATTGTCACAATTGTGACATCAGATTTTGGGTTACTGCTTCAGGTGGTAATAATATAATAGTGATATAAGGTTGATTAATCAAGGAAATCCTTTTATTAGAGTCTTCTGAGTCCATTATGTGGTTTTTGTATCTGTTTATGGGCTACTCTGAGTCTGGTTTTTTTTTTTTTTTGCATTTTATGAATTTTCTGTGGGATAAAATCAAGGCTGTCCCAAATACTTGTTAACCTTAGTGCTTGTGTGGCATCTGGGGACCCCTTTCATCTGTATCTGTAGTAACCTAGAAGTGAAATATTTTACCAAAGTAAACTCCATTTGGGAGCAACGGACCAAAGAGAATGATGCTTTTGGGTCAGCCCCTGATCTTGGACTCAATCTACGTGAACCTGGAATGTTGGTGTAGCAGTGGAGGGGGCAGGGCTTAGGGATGGACCATAGTTGCACTATGAACAATAAAAAACAATCAGATTTCTCCAGGACTTTAAGATTTGCAAAGTATATTTCTAACAACAGCTGTATGATGTGGGTAAGTGCAAACATTATGATGCCCATTTTACTGATGATAAAACCAAGGCTCTGAGAGTCAAAGTGATTTGTCTCTGATTACACAGCTTGTGTTGAAAGTCTTGAGCTCTGCCCATAGTAGAGTTGATTCTTTCCCTCAGCCACAGGTTTGGGGAATAGTTTTTCTGATATGAACAAGAAATATTCAGCATAACTTTTGTGGTATAGATATGGTTAGGACAGCATTTGCTTTATTTACGTTTGAATATTTTGTGGATCTGTGACTGTGGACTTGGGTGGACCCATGTGGAGAACAACCTCTAAACACTGATAGTGGTCTTTGGAAAGTTACAACCTGGCCCGAGTCTCTGGTCCACGGCGGGAGGGGACACACAGCCTGTTGTTGGACCCAGATTTAATGGAAACGTTTCCCATCCTGGTAGGGGCATAGAACCTGTGTCCTCCTGGCAGGACTACAGGAATCCAGGGCTGCCACAGAGGCATCTGAAGAGGACTTCATCATGGACATTCATTATAATGCCACAAAATTTTTACCCTGGCCTGAAATCCCAATCATTAGGTCATTTCTCTGAGTCAGACAGAGGGGTAGAGTATTATTTCTGGAAAGCGCCTCTGAGAATGTACGTCCTAGGACTGTAGATCTGACATGTAAACGGACCACAGAGGCCATTTAGTTTAATAGCTTTATTTTACAGATGAGGCTCACCTGGGGTTTGGCTACTGCTGCAACCATCTGGTAGCTTCCTATCTTACTCCCTTGTTCTGGTTAACTAGGTCCCAAGCCCAGCTGCTTCTATGTTGATGAAGGCCAGTGAGGGGTGCCAATGCTCTCTACAATTTGGCTTCATTAGACAAAGCCTCCACTGCTACACTCTAGTTCTAGCCGTTGTTGAATGTAGGCTGAGATGTGCTTTATTTTTCTGGTTCCCCAAGTCCTCACAGCCTCAGGTAGACGACTCTTCCTCTGAATGGGTGTGGGCTCGTTGAGGTCGTTGGCTATTTTGAACTAACTGCGTCCTCTAATCTCTGAAGCTGATGGTGTCCCAGAGCCATCGTCCTATGACGCCTTCCCTGAACCTGAACAGATCTCTCCCCAGGGGCCCCACCAGAAACGTCCATGCTCCAGTGACCATGCTTTGTAGCTGGCTCTTCTTGGCCTAAGATTCACTTCCTACTGTTCTGGCTGGGCGCCAATGAGAAGAAAGGGTGATGAGAAGCGTTTGTAGATGCGCCACCTGCCTCAGAGTCCAGTACCCTGGGAGAGAGAAAGCAAGATGAACATAGATGATTATGAGAACGTCAGCCTAGGAAAGTCATCTCCTTGGCCTCTTGGTGAGTTTCTCCCAGATCCTATCTCCCCCCGGGCTCTCCTTTTCCTCCTATCTTCCAACTCTTCAGTGGACCTTGCGACTCAGGGAGCCATTCTAGGCTCTAAGCTGGGGTCTCTGGGGGCAGGTGTGGGGAGGATTTGGGGAGGGGATCAGCCTTTGAGGATGACCCTTCAGGAATCCTGCTTTTCCTGTGGGAGATATTTGATTGGTCTTAGCTCCTATCCAAGACGGGGCTGCCTGAGGCGGTGGGTGTCTACGCGCAGACAGACGTGAGCTGATCCTTTCTGGGTTGTTTGAATGGGACCTGGGCGTCAGCTCAGCTCTTGCAGGTACACAGGGCAAGGTCAGCACGAGGAAGCTATTAGTACCACTGGCTCTGTAAGAAAATCTCCAATCTGCCCTGTACACATCTCGTTTGTACGTCGTGGTTTGCGTATCGTCTCTCTTGTTAGAATGTGAGCTCCTTGAGGGCAAAGACTGTTTTTTTTTTTACCTTTGTCTTTCCAGCACTTAGCACAGTGCCCGGCCATAGTAGGTGCTTCATAGATGCTTGTTGTCTGGACTTGACGATGAACTCTCTCCCTCCCAGGACAGTTTCTCAGGATAGAGCCACGTCCGGCCCACAGGACTCCAAGGATGGCCCGGGTAGCTCTGGTTCTCCTGACTCTGGCCTTGCTGGCCTCCTTCACTGCAATCATCATCCTTTGTAAGTTTCTGGGTTGGTTTTTGGCTTCATATTTGTGCTGTATTCCTTACCCCTTGCCATGTCCTGGGGCCATCATTGCCTCATTAAGCTTCAAGGGATCTCGAATAATTATCTTGGCTCATCTCCCTGTCTCCAGTAAAGACCTATATGGAAACCATTCTAGATGAGAAAAGCATAATAATGATAGTCAATAGTAACACAGGCAGGTCTCAATTAGTGCGAACAAGGAATCCCATTTTTCTCACATTAACTGAGACCTGGCTTCTTGTCACTTTAAGGTTAGCAAAGTGTTTTGCGTATATTATTTAATTCGGTCCTCAAAACAGTTGGAGGGTGCTATAGTTATGCTCCATTTATAGTTGAGAGAGATTAAGTACTTTTCCAGGGTGACACCACTAAGATGCAGTAAGTGTGTGAGGCTGGATTTGAACTCAGGTCTTCCTGTCTCCAAGTCTAGAGTTCTACCTATGACTCAATATTGCTTCTTCTACGTGTCTAGAATAGTGCCTGGTACTAACTGGCATTTAATAAATGCTGCTTAATCAGTAGTAAAGAGTGTTGGGTTTGGAGTCAGAAGACTTGGGTTCTTTTGTTGGCATTCCTTATTACTACCTGTAGGATTTTGGGCAAAGTCATGTGTCCTCTCTGGGCCTCAGTTTCCTATCTGAAAAATGAGAGGTTTGAGTTAGATTAAAGAATGATAAGGCATTTATAGGGCAACTAGACGGCGCAATAGTGCATAGATCACTGGGCTTGGAGTCAGGGAAGACTCATCTTGATGAGTTCAAATCTGGCCTCAGACACTTAGTACCTGTGTGACCTTGGGCAAGTTACTTCACCCTGTTTGCCTCAGTTTCCTCGTCTGTAAAACGAGCTGGAGGAGGAAATGACAAACCCCTGAAGCATCTTTGCCAAGAAAACCCCAAATGGGGCTGTGAAGAGTTGGACTTGATGAAATGACTCAACAACAACCAAAAGCATTCATCAAGCCCTTACTATGTATAAAGCACCCTGCAAACCTTTTGGGATACAAATATATAAACAAAGACTGCCTCTGTTCTCAAGAAGCTAAAATCCTAATAGGGAGTGATTACATGTATAAGGGAATGACAGCCAGGGAGGAGAGTGTTGGTTTGGAAGCCATAGGGATGACCTTTGATGTAGTCTCTACTCTGAATTTATGGTTCTAAACATAATTTTTCATGTTTTTGAAGATTTGTTGCCAAGGCAACCCATTCCAGTGGGTTTTATCCTCTCTACTCTACTCTCATTTCTTTTATACTGTTTTCAGAGAGAATTATTGTCTTTGGTGAGGTGGGGAAGGAGCTGGACTTGTGCTTTCATTAGGGTAGGAACTCCCAGTGTGGAAACTTCTTCTGTAAGTCTGTAACTTATGGTCTTTGAGGGTAATCTGGTGAGCTGAGATGTTAAGTGAGCTGCCCAGGGTCACACAGCTGGTATGTGTCAGACATGGAACCTGAGCCCAAGTCTTCCTGCCTCCAAGGCTGAGTCTCTATCCACTGTGCCATGCATGGTGTCTTTCTATTAGGGTAGGTTAGGCAATCTCCTTTTGTGAAGAGAATGAGGTGAAAAAAGGAAGCCAACACGTCCAGGTCACATGGACCATCAGTAGAAAATTTGGTTTCAATAACCATCTCTCCCCCTTTGGGGCCAGACTCTTTTCACCTGATGAAGTCTAGACCTTGGCATGCTTGTCCATGAAGGACATACAGTGAAGGGGCCCAATCACTCCCATGCTCACTTTTTAGGATATCAGTATTTTTCATTCCCTCCTAGGGAACTTGGCCTGGAAAATGACTGTTGACTTGGCAGACTTAGCATCAGCATCAATATGCCTCATTGGTACAGATCTCATCCCGGAGGTATTTGTGAGCCAGGGCTACAGGACAGAAAACAGAAAATCAGAACTGGGGGCTGAGGAGAGTAGAGGCAGGGCAAGGGACCCAACCAAGGTCTCTTGGCTTAAAGCTTGCTTACTTCTATCCAGCAGGATGAGGCATGCCCCCTCCCAACCAAAGGAACCAAAGGACTTCTGAGCAAGTCAAACACTCTAAGATTCCCAGTGGCCTCTCTACTTAGATCTGTTTCTCCTTGGAATCTGATACTAGCCAGCCTTAACTTGTCAATCTCTCAGATTTCCAGGTAGAGACATGCACAGGAAGTGAGGAGGCCCAGCGGAAGGCTTACCTGGATAATATTACCACCTTGACTTCAGAGATGCAGATGTTAAGAAGTCATCTGGAAAACCCTAGGGTTCAGATGTTAGAGACCAAGAAGACCAAGAGTGGCCTGGAAAATGTCACAGCATCTAATGCTGTCATGGAAGGGTTAAAAGGTTATTTGGAGACCATTACTGTCCTCCCTGTCAGCACCCATCAGGCACTGAACAGGGCCTCTGGAGTGGACCCTGAGACACCAGAAGGCCCCACGGAGGAGGACCTAGAGCTTGGGAGGGTCACTGAACCACCTGGACGTCCCACCAAGGAGGCCCTGGAGTTTGGAGGGATCACTGAGACACCTGGAGCCCACGGGGAGAAGGTCTCAGCAACTGTTGAAGGTCAAACAGTTGTGAAAATGTTAGAAGACCTTCTAGAGGCCGTTAATGCATCCTACATTGCAGTGAGAGATGAGTATAGTACGTTCACGGGGTCCTGTGAGATTGGGGAGTTTTTTTCTACATTTTCAGCATTTCAGCTCATAACAATACCTGACATTTGCATAATGGTTATAGGCTTACAAAGGCCTTTTTAATAGTCATCTTATTTTCCTAAATCTTAATGGGCATTACTAATATTAGAATCATAAATTTAAAACTGCAAAGGACCATGGAGGCCACCTAGTCGTGGAGAGCGTGCTAGGTTTGCTGTCAGGAAGACTCCTAAGTTCGAACCTTGCCTTAGATACTTTCATGCTGTGTGATTCTGGGCAAATCATTTAACCTGCCTCAGCCCTAGCTTCCTCATTCATAAAATGAAAATAATATTAATGTCTCCCTACAGAATTATTGTGAAATTCAAATGAGATAACATGCAAAATGCTTTGTAAACTTTGGAGTGCTATATAAACTATCACCACCACCACCACCACCATCATCATCATCATCACTTAAGAGTGAGTTGAGGCCAATAGAATGGAAGTGACTTCCCCAAGATTGCAAGGAGCAGAGTCAAGATTTGAACTTAGGTACTTTATAGATCATTCACCAGAAACTGCTCACTCCAAAGTGACCAATGATCACTTAATTGCCAACTCTAATGGCCTTTTTAAAAAATCCTCTTCCTTCCTGAGCTCTCTGCAGCTTTCAACACTGTTGAGCAACCTCTTCTCTCAGATACTTTCTTCTCTCTAGGTTTTTGTGATACTGCTCTCTTGAAATTCTCCTCCTCCCTGCCTGATTGTGCCTTCTCAGTCTCCTCTGCTATATCTTCATCCAGATCATGCCCACTAACTGTAGGTGTCTCCCCCAAGGCTCTGTCTTGGGTTCTGTTCTTTTCTCCCTCTGGTAACTGCTGGTATCTCTCTTGATAATCTCATCAACTCCCATGGACTCTATTGTCATCTCTATTCAGAAGATGATCAGATCTATCGATCCAGTCCAAGCCTCTATCCTGACCTCCAGGCTCACATTTTTAACTGCCTATTGAACAATTTGAACTGGATTCTTGAATCATAGACATGTTAAACTCCATCTGTCCAAAACCAAATTCATCATCTTTCCTCCCAAACCCTTCCCCCTCCTACAGTGCTGAAGGCACTACTGTCCTCCCAGGCTCACAGCCTAGGAGTCATCCTGGACTTCTCACTCATCCCAGCCCCATACATCCAGTCAATTGCTAAGTCCTGTCATTTTTACCTTCCCCAACATTTCTTGTATACACCCCTGTCTTTCCTCTGGCACAGTCACCATCCTGGTGCAGGTCCTCATCACCTCATGCCTCAATTATTGCAATAGCCTAATGGTGGGTGTCCCTGCCTCAAGTCTCTCCCCACTCCAGTCTATCTTCTTTTTGGTTGTTAAAGTGATCTTCCTAAAGTGCAAGTCTGACCATGTCATGCCCTTCCTTAATAAACTCCAGC